AAACCCTATAACCGATAGCCAAAACTCCCAAGCAAGCTCTAAGGAGCTAGAAGATAAGAACCAGTGGTGGAGCCAGGATTTTTTATTTGGGTGGGCAAAAGTTATATAGCAAAAATAATTATAAATAACATAAATAGTAACACTACATCACTATAATTGATTGTTCTCGACGTGTGTTCATGTTTTGAAATTGTCTCATAATTAAATCATTATCAATTTTGCTAAATATATCCTTCTCAATATATACAACTAAACTGTCATTCAATCATTCATCTTGGACTTCACTTTCATCCTGAATAACATCATTTTCATGGCCAATATCACTTTCACCTTGATTATTACTTTCATTCCCTAACTTGAATATCCATTTCATCTTGAGCAACCTCACGAGCACTGCTAGATTTCTTTCTAACAATATTTTGACCTTCAATAGAAATTGAACCTTTCCTTTTAAAATCTCTCTCCATAACTGTTGACATTGAATCGAATACCATGCAAATAAAAATTTGCAATAAAGATTATAAATTTAACAAATTTTTAGTAAATCAACTAATAACATTATTGAAAATATAATCAACAAAATAATTATTATCCTCTTTATCATTTTTGCCATATTTCTCTTTCAGGTTTAGGCCCACACACATGTACACTCTCTTTTACACAATAATCAAGGCCACACACACAAACCCCTACTCCGGCTAATAAGGAAAGAACATTTTTCCTTGAACCCATCTACACAGTGTATTCATTTCTTCAACTTCTAGAAACATGGTTCTTATCTATTATTTGTCTAGAACCCTTATTCAATGCCTACTACCTAGAACGTTATGCATCAAAGTTTGAAAGGTACCTTCCTTAATCTTCACCAGAGAGAGTCTTTTCTTTTCAACCACTGAATCACAAGAATAAAAACCAGAAAAAATTTTGCAAAAAGGGTCACATAAAAATCAATTCAAGAGCCTAATGCACTAACTCACTGAAATCACCTTTCCAAATTCCAATAGAAGAGGAGAATTAGAAGATGCCGGAGAAAGAGCAACAAACTCGCCCGTGATCGATGGTCGGCTTCAATTGGAATTGGATGTGCAAGATACTTGAGAAGAAGAGAAGAGAGGTGGGTAGGGTTTTAAGCTTTTCCAAATTGGAATGGCAGAAAAACACAGTCCCTTACGTTAAGGGATTCTTTTTCCTATTTTAAATTTTTAGTTTTTAATTATTAAGAAAAAGCAGAAATTAAGGGTGGCGGCGGAGCCAAGATTGTCGTTCAGTGCGGGAACAATTTTGTCCACTCCAAAGTCAAACATCGAGTTTTTTGTCATGGATTTAATGATGATAAAAATATAAAACAATATCATGACAATACTAAAAATGACATACTTTATATATTACACTTGTTGGAAGTTGTGCAACATCGAATTCCACCTTGTTCGATATCTCCCAATCAACATTTTCTACGTCCGAATTTATTTGAAAGAATCTCTTCATTTCATATCAGGATTTAAACATTATTTGCTATTAAGATTTAAGAATGTTTTCCATTCACAGTGCAATTCAAACAGCAATAATTACTAGAATCAATTCACAGAGTAAGCAACCAAGTACTCATTAGTCACAGAATGCTTTCAAGTTTCACTGTTTCACAGTCACAGAACAAGCTTTGGTATCTACATAATTATGCAATATCTCCAGAATTTCCAAAAGCAGGTCAAGAAAAATCTATAAAATAAATCATAAATATTACTGCAGAATACGAAAATTTGGTTTAACTTGAAATATTTATAGATACATACTTGATTGAGTAGGCTTCACTTCAGGAATCACCGAATCAGGCTCGAGGGCTTCACAAAATCACAGGCTTAGGCTTCAAACTTGAGGTTTCTAGGTCTAATTTCAATTTTCAAGAGCAATTGAAAAGAAAATTAACAGCAATGGCAGTGCAATTCAAAGAGCAAATTTCATGTCGAAAAGAAAAAATTAAAAAGTACACAAATCAAAATAACAGAAAAAAAGTTGAGAAAAACGAGTAGGCTTCGGGGGGTTCACCTTCTTCTGCTGCTGCGCAGGTGTTGCCGTCGAATCGCCAGTGGAAATTTGGGCCTTCGGATGCCGCGTCTTCCTACTGCCGTCTTCTAGGGCTCGAAGATCGCCGCGATTGAATGGCGGAGATAGAGAAGACCCGCTATTTAGTGTCGTCCGTCTCACCGTCTGTATGAATTGACTGTGTCCAATCGTGAATATCTGGGAATGGCGATCGGCGGAGGCGCTCAACTGCTCAAGGCTCAAGCGATGAAGACGGGAGACGGGAGGAGTGGAAGAAAAGTAGATTGAAAATTGGGTTGGAATGAATGGTAATATGGTATTGGGCTTCTTCACTTGGGCTACACTTGGACAGTTGGGCTAGAAGCTTAAAAAAATTGGACATTTTGTTTTGCCAAAAGTTCAGTGCAGGCATTTGCCTGCACTGGACCTTCATGGGCTCCGCCCCTGGGTGGGCCACTACCCCCCTTGCTAGGGATGGCAATTTGAACCGGGAAAATCGAAAACCGCGGTTAACCGAACCGAATGGGGCGAAAAAAACCGAACCGATGGTGTAATGGGGCGGTTATGGTTTTGATTTTAATGAACCGCTTCATTTAGGGGCGGGTATGGTATTTAGCAATGTTCTAAAATGCGTAATGCGTTGCGATGCGTCGACGTCGAGAATCAAGAATCACAAGTTTAGGCGTGTCAATGCGAAGAATAAGCGTCATAATGCGTTTCGTATTTTTAATATTATTTTAATTATTTTTAAGACAATAAATAAATTTTTTTTATAAAAAAATAGATTTTTTTTTAATCCAAGAACTGAGATAAAAACAAACATATGATGTCACCAAATTTCAAAACCTAAAGGCCAGCATAACGACTCAAAATGCAGAAATTCCAAGGGACAAAAAAAGATGAATGGTTAATGCAATGCTCATCAAACTTAAAAGTACAGCCTGCCAAAATATATGCACCAGTTTACAGAATTGTGAGCACTGACTGGGTATATTAAAGGGAAGGAATCAAACTAACAAATACCAAGGCCACAAAACAGACCAGTTGATATTGCAAAAGATATTAAACACGTAGCTGCAGAAAAAGATGGATATACTTCATATTAAACAAGTCAGGATCCTCATTGGCAGAATCTTTACTCACCATCCATTCACACCATATTTTCCGAATTTCATTAGAAACCTCATCCTCGCTCATTCTAGCAGCTATTCGTCCAACACCTATCTGCCTCACAACCAAATCAGATACATCTTCTTTCTGAACCATTTCCATTCATATGCTGGTCATGGAAGCTGTCATCACAACCCATATCATCCTCAACTACTCGTGAAATACCATTCGGCCCCAAGTTCTCATCAAAACTAACAATAGCAAGGCTATCTTGTTCTGATGATCTCTTGCAAAATCCCAAGCTTCGCGATCTCGAGCCCATCATCCTCAACCCCACTCGACCCTCTCCTATCAACCCCATTTCATCAGCATCCAAATTAATCAAATTTTGCCATTTCAACCATAGCATTAACAACGTATAGATTTCAATAATACTTCATGAACTCCATCCCAAATCCACAATGTACTCAACAAAAATTGTCTTTAGAATATTATTAATTGCGTTGCAAAGTAACAAAAAAATTCAACCCATACAATTCATCCAAATTCAACCCATACCGCGAAAATACCAAATATTGAACAGAATCCAATAATCAATTTCCAGTATAATGCAAATCCCAATTTCCTGTACCCCAATGGACTCCAGTAAACGGATAATTGAATACACCAGCTCCAATTCCACTGATTAAACACAACTATAAGCAAAACCCAGATAATCAAAATAATGTTTACATGAAAACCCACTATCAAAATCGCCCAATTAACTGGTAAACAGTATAAGATCAGACCTTTGTATATCAAACATTGTTGTTCAGCCGGCACATCACAACTCTGAGCCAGCACAGCCTTGAATTCCTGCACCGTTGACTCAAGCCTCGTCCGCATAGAGAATTTAGAGCCATTTGAGCAGCGAATGTTGACATTCACCTCATCACCACCACTAACGATCAAGCTCGATTCACCCTGGTGGTCCGGCGGAGCCTGCTGGGTCCGTTTCTGTTCCCACCGTTGAGAAAGAAGCTTTAGATTCCTTCCCAAAGCCCTTGACAATGGCCCATATTGCTGTTCCAACCCTTCCCCTACGGCAGCACCCATCCCCGCCACCTCTACAGACAGAAAACCAAGAGGATAGAACTGGATTTTTAGAGGAAAACTTGAGAGAAAACCTTACCTTTGAAAGCAAAGGAGGGACGCAGCTATAGGTTAAAAAATCTATCCCACATCGGATGTAGATTTAATCAGTGGGAGAATAATCCTTTATCAAAAATGCACCACTCAACGTCTTAACCCATGAATTGGGCTTGTCGTTGGACGAACCCATTAGTAGAGTTGTTGAAAGGTTTATTTTTTAAAGTTGCTTGACGTTTTGGGCCTGCTAAGGCGTTCCTAGACGGTCAACGAAAAAAATTGACCGCGTTATTACACGCATGTCTCCAATGCGATGCGTTTCCGAAACGCTTCGCGCCTAGGCGCGCGTACACGGCGCGTTTTTTCGCATTTTAGAACACTGGTATTTAGTTACGGTGAACCGAACCGAACCGATTACCCGTTAAAAAAAAAAAAAAAAATGGACATTGGGCATTCCATTATTATTTTTCTAAATTAATTGGGCAATTTTTTTTGGGCTTCCCAAAATTCTGGCCCAATTAATATTAATTAAACCTTAACACAATAACTAAGGCCCCAACCCATGCCCAGTAGCCCAATCAATATATCATACCCGTAGTTAAAACCCTTACCCACTAATTAGTCTCCACTCTGTCTCTCTACTCTCTGTCTCAAATCCGCCGCCGACAGTCTGGGTTGAAGTTAAAGTCAAAGACCAAACTTAAACCCTTACCAAGAAAGAAATGGCAGAAGACCCAGTCGATGCTACTGTACAAAAGGTTTCTTAGTTTTACATTTTTCATACAGTTGGTTTTATACTATGTTGCTTCTCGTACTCGTGGGACTCTGTAATTCTCAAGGATATTCACCTTGGATGGTTGGATAATGACTTTTGTCCTAAAACCTTGTTATGTTGGAATATTCATGTATTGCTATTGGAACTTGGAGTTGTACCCTTTAGTATATGATAGCCTGAAATTTTTGAATTTGTTGAACCTTTTTTTATCTCCTACTGGTACTTAGGCGTTCTTACCCCATTCTTTGTCAATTTTTTTTTTTTTGAATTTTCAGCAAGGAATAAATAATATTTCATATATGTGAAATGGAGAAGATGAATCTGTGTTTGATTACAGCGTTTTGGCTGCATTTTATGGCTAGCAATTTAGAGAAAAAGTGCTAAGTTCAAATTGTCAATTAATGCTCAATTTCTTAGAGGTGAGGGTATAATATGCTTCAATATTGTGTTTCATCTTCAAAAAAAAAAAAAATATTGTGTGCTCTTGAGTTTGGGACCAAATCGTGGTTCTTAGAACCAAGATTTTAATATGATTTTTTTTGGGTTACATCTTGTGTAATAGATTGAGAGTACATTGTAAATGTATTGGACTATACCATGTGAAATTTATTTACCGATTTTCGATATCATAATTTAACCTTGCTAATTACTGACTTACTGCGACCTAGGGATGGCAATTCGAACTGCTAAAACCGAAAACCGTGGTTAACCGAACCGAATGGGATGAAAAAAAATCGAACCGATGGTGCATGGGGCGGTTATGGTTTTGATTTTCATGAACCGCTTCATTTAGGGGCGGGTATGGTATTTAGCGATGGTGAACCGAACCGAACTGAACCGATTACCCGTTAAAAAAAAAAAATTGGGCAATTTGACTTTCCATTATTATTTCTCAAAATTAATTGGACAATTTTGACAATTGGGCTTCCCAAAATTCTGGCTCAATTAATATTAACTAAACATTAACCCAATAACCCAGGCCCCAGCCCACTGCCCAGTAGCCCAATTAAATTTCAATATACCCTACACGTAATTAAAAGTTAAAACCCTTACCCATGAAATTACAATCTCTTCCACTCTGAGCATAACTTGTATGATCATTGGCCCTATCTATTAAACCAGGATAATTACCAATGCGTGTGTCGGATGCCTAAGAGAAAGGTAATTTATCTTGTAGAACCTGGATTTTTGTATTCTAAACNTTTCCATTATTATTTCTCAAAATTAATTGGACAATTTTGACAATTGGGCTTCCCAAAATTCTGGCTCAATTAATATTAACTAAACATTAACCCAATAACCCAGGCCCCAGCCCACTGCCCAGTAGCCCAATTAAATTTCAATATACCCTACACGTAATTAAAAGTTAAAACCCTTACCCATGAAATTACAATCTCTTCCACTCTGAGCATAACTTGTATGATCATCGGCCCTATCTATTAAACCAGGATAATTACCAATGCGTGTGTCGGATTCCTAAGAGAAAGGTAATTTATCTTGTAGAACCTGGATTTTTGTATTCTAAACAACATACAACAATTATTTATTCTGCCCTTTGGATTCCAAAATATTTACATTCATGGTTTCAGGGTGCAAACTTTAGGGATCTACCGGGCGTTAGAGTTCGTGCTGATAACAAAGTTGAATTTGATCCTGATGTAGAAAGAGAAAAGCTGCCTTCTGGGAAGCCTTTGGTATGTTCCCTCTGAAATTTTTTCTACTATATTATCATCCTCTTGACTTGCTATGTATAATGCATATTTAAAACTGTTAGGTTCCTGATTATGCAATGACTTTTGTGCGTGAAACATCATCCCTGCATCCAACCGATCTAAAAAGCTAATTATGAATTCTTTTGGAGTAAAATGTTTCATTAATCACTCAACTTTGTACATTGTCATGTTGTGGTCACTCAACTTTGTGACGCTTCTGACTACTCACTGAACTTACAAACATTTCCTTCCATCCATCACTCACCACCAAACCGTTTGTATGTTATCTGAGGTGGCATAACGGCAGCAGACGTGGACATGGACGACGTCAAAAATTTTGCCACACACAATTTTCCTTCATTTCGTATAAACTGAAGTCCCCCAATTCGAAACCCTAAATGTCAACCCAACGATCCTCCCTTCCAAATCCGAATCATAGCCACCTGAAGCGCCACCCTTCCAATCCGAAAACACCACCTGAAGCGCCATTAAATTCCTCCAAAACCTTCAGTTGAACGAGCCCTAAACCTCCAAAACCTTCAGTTAAACGAACCTGTTCAGCCACTGCACAAGATCGTTACTGGTAAATTTCAACCCATAATGAGTTCAAACATGGATGCAGATCACGGAGGTAAAACCCACCATTAATCTGATTTATAGTATATTTAGGTTTTCTTTTGTTTATTGATTTTTTAGGGGTTTTGTTTACTTGAATTCTGCTGGTGGTTCTTCTAAAAATAGCCAAATTCAATAATTTTTTTCATTTTTTCGGTGACTATGGATTCCATAAATATTTGAACTTTACCAATTCCACACGGTAGATATTAGATTTGGATTTTTTGTGCATAGCATTGTTTCAAAATTGGCTGCAGAGTACTGGTATAGAGCATTGAATCAGTCTTTCTCTTCCGTAATTTCTAGGAATGGTACGATGCTGAATTAGAACCAGTTGCTTCAAATAGCATGGCGCAGTTAATGAACATGTGAGTAAACATGCTAATTACCACCTATCTTAAGAAAAAGTTTCGGAGTAATCAAATATTTTGGAATTATTGATGATGATGAATTAATTGATTGTGAAATGGATATATTGTGGTAGTTGTTCAGGCAAACTCACTGATAAGAACTCATGCTACAGTTTTTGACCACTCATTCTTTGGTGATTAATCAGCTTTTGCTACTGCCTTTTGGGCAAGCTAATGAGATTGGCCTGAACTCTGTATTTGCTTCTGTAGGCAACATTCTTAGACAAATATAATTGTAAATCAGATTGTTGGTTTTCACACCACCCTGGCAGCCAACCATGTGGTAACAGGTTTCGGAGTAATGAATCTGTGGAACAATTGGCTGAATTTTCTGAATTTTCTGGATTTTAATGGAGTATTTGTGCATCTATGCTTGGATAAAAATGATGATTTGTGCAAGTATTTTTGTAGTTTTTGGATTAACTTATTTGTGGTTTGATTATGACAGTGGAAATGATGCCCGAAATGTGGCCAGTTCGAGAAATGTATGGAGGTGGAGAAAAATGCTTCGAACATCGGGAGGCTGTTCTTTTGTTGTACTAGGGATTGCAGTCACTTCAAGTGGAAGGATGGAGAGAAGTCTATTGCGAAATTGAGCCACGGTTGCTCATGTGATTGTAAAGCTAAATATCTGTGTCACGACCTATCGGAAAGGGGAACCAATTCATGTGATTGAGAAATGTATTGCGAAATTGAGAAACGTTTGTTCATGTAATTTATGTATGGAAACAATGTAATTGGATGTAAGCCTTTGATGTAAGACGTCTATGTAATCGTTTTTTACTTTCATTTTGAACTTCTTCGAATTTGTAGACATTAGTTACATTTGTTCATTTGGCGTTACAAGTTTCTTTCTTGATATGAAGCGCATTTTAACAGGCTGTTTATAGGGGATTTTTGTGGCCATCACTTGGAAGAAATGCTTCCAGTTCAATCCATCACATGCATGCTTTTAATAATAGGGAAAGGTGCTACCTGATTCAAGGAGTGTGCCATTGATAATAACAAATGCCAAATGATGAAGAAAACTTATAATAACTTTAAAAAAGCACAGATATATCCCTCTCAAGCAAAATGATTTTTATATAGGTTTTTGGTACCAGTAGCATCAAGATACAAGCAAAATCGGGGTCTTCCTCGTAATCTATCAACCAAATGAAAACAATGGAATTATTTACCATGGCTTATAAAAAATAATCTGTTCTATATCAAATCCATTTCTATTACAAGAAGAAATACAAAGAAACAAGAAGAAAATGCATAAAAGCATCAGTAAGAAGCTCGAGAAACTTCAACTTCAACACCTCTAGTGGAGTAGATGAAATTCTTCACAGCTTCAAACAAAGCAAGAGCATCTGTCATTTCTAATCCATGAAAACCTCCTGGATTAAATATATGAACCACTGATACATTGAGAAACTTCAACTTGCGTACAAACTCCCTGGACCGATCAGTCATTGGGTCTCCTTCCTTCACAGTTTGCCACAAACAATCTAGACGAACGTCGGACTTTCTCAAAACCAAAAGTGAATGGATTACTGAATTCATGATCTCGATTGGCTTGAAATGGCAGTTCAATGACCACAGGGCATCAGATATATACAAAGGATGGTGAGCATCGTCCATAAGTCTAAGCTCGGATGAAGTCCTTTCAACTCCACCGAAAGCAGGCTGATGCAATAGAACCTGCGTACAAGACCAGCCGCTTAATTTCTTGAGCACTTTTACACGTACAATTTTATTACACAATAAAATTTCACCAAACAACTCACAGTAGGGGGTGGGGGGGGATTTTTCTATTAATGTGAAATTCTGTGGGAAGATTTTTGTACACATGGAAAAATGCTAATTTCTTCTTGAGGCTAAGAGTACCAGTTTGCAGCCTCCTCAAACAAAAGTAGACACTGGCCAGCGTATCATACTTAACAAGGTAGTGGAATTCACTTCAAATTCAACATCCAATTTATTCAATAACATGGGCCGGCTGTTCAACACATTTTATATGCTACCAGCTTCGACACAAATCTCACTGCCACTGGAAGTTACATTACAGAATAAATTAATTTACCTTGGCCTTCAGTTCGGTGGGATGGTGTGCACAATTAGTTCGGTTTTGGTGTTCTGGGACGACGAAGACAGGCAGAAGCGGCTGGTGTTGCTGTGAAGGAGATGAAATTCTGCAAGTGTTCACCGAATCGATTTGGGGGAGGGTTTTGGAGGAGCGTGTGGGAGGAATTAGGGCAATCAATTTTTGAATTGGGGCTTGGCTTATGGACGGGGAATGTCCGGGAGTCGTGTCTTTACGTTAAAAACGCGTCCACCGTGGCTGGAATTGACGCCGTCGACGGCCACGTCGACTGCCGTCTAGCCACGTGGGACGGGCTCATGGAGTCGTGTCTTTACGTTCAAAACGCGTCCACCGTGGCTGGAATTGACGCCGGCGACGGCCACGTCGACGGCCGGCTAGCCACGTGGGACGGGCTCAAACAGTCGGAGAGAGAGGTGATGGATGGAGCAGTGTTTTTGCAAGTTCCGTGATTGTTGAGCAGCAAAGTAAAGTTCAGTGACCACAACACGACAGAATGATAAGTTCAGTGACTAATCAAACATTCAAACTTTTTACTCAATTCTTTTGAGATATTGTTTGCTAAATTTGTTTAGTAATATTTTTTGTTTTCATTGACTTTTCTCCATAATTTTTTTTTCTCAATTTGACGTTTGGAGTTGGATTTATAAAAAAATAATTCATTTTCGTAGTTATTAACCGAACCGAACCGAACCGAACCGACTTACGTGGTTATGGTGCTGTTATGGTATGGCCAAAAAGTTGGTGGTGCGGTTATGATTTTGGCCGAACCGACCCATAACCGAACCGTTGCCATCCCTACGTGCGACCAGCCTGTTTAAATCTTATGCATTTAATATTAATCTGTTTTTTTTTCTATTTCAAACTAGATTAAAGAAATTTGTTATGCACATTAGAAGATTGCACTGAAATTTATGTTCTATGTATATCAGTTTGCATTTTCTATTGGGATATTGTTTGCTAAATTTGCTTAACATTGTTTTTATTGGTTTTTTTTCATAATTTTTCTCAATTTGACATTTGGAGTTTGGACTCATAAAAAAATAATTCATTTTCGTGGTTATTAACCGAATCGAACCGACTTACGTGGTTATGGTGCGGTTATGGTATGGCCAAAAATTTGGTGGTGCGGTTATGATTTTGGCCGAACCGACCCATAACCGAACTGTTGCCATCCCTCGTGCCTCCGCCCCTGATTATTAAGAAGGGCGATACACAATTGTGTTGAAATTAAATTCTTCACAACAATCAAATACAGTGCGAAATCAACAGATAAAGCCTATTCTTACATAAATCATACATTCCAAGTTTCGTGACGAAGAAGTTGAGTTATCGAAGTACGAAACACTGCAAAACAAACAAGAGAAATTGGTGGCAAAATGGAACCCCGCCGCTTATGTCCTCCTGTTGCTCTACTAACAAGACTTAAAACCGGCCTGGATTATGTAAGAAATTGGATATGCACTTGCGAATTAATTGGGCTTCAGATGGCTTATATATTGAAAGGGTAATTAGCACTTTTCAATTTTTTGGCATTTTATCAATTAAAAGTTATGAAATGACNCCTATTTTCTCAATTAAAAATTATGAAATGACGAATATACCCCTCTTTAAATAAAACAAAAAGAAACAGAAAAAATTAATTTAATCACAATCCCAATTTTTTTAAAAAGCGCAAATAAGTAAAATAAATTATTAAAATGGTAATTAATACATAATGTCCTTACATTTCACAATTATTGTGAAAAGTTACTTAATTACATATTTGATCGCTCAAACCATTAATTCTATCGATTTACATCCAACTTCTCAATAAAAAGTTGTGAAATGACAAATATGACATCCAGTTTAAATAAAAAATAAAGAAAAATATTTTTTTATTTTAAATTTTAATAATTTATTTTTGACTCGTTTGCACTTTTTGAAAAAAAAAATTGGGATTATAGTTGCAATTAGTTCTTTATTTAAATGTGAGGATTTATTCATCATTTCATTGTTTTTATTGAGAAATTGAATGAAAATGGATAGAATGGATGGTTTGTACAATCAAAGGTTTAATTTAAGTTGAAAATGTCAAAAAAAAAAAATGTAATGTATGGATATTATGTGCTAATTACCCTTTTAATAATTTATTTGAGAATCGTTTGTACTTTAAAAAAAAAAAATTGGATTATACTTAAAATTAACTCTTTCTTTTTCTTTTTGTTTTATTTAAACAAAAGAGTATATTTTTCATTTCACAACTTTTAATTGAGCAAATAGTTACACAATAAGATGTGGAAATAACGGTGAAAATGCCAAAAAGAAAAGGTAAAGACATTTTTCACAATAATAGCAAAATGTAAGGACGTTATGTGCTAATTATCCTATTTTGAAAACTACTAGCAACTAAAAATTATGTAAAACTACACGACGAAAATCATCTATAATATATTAAATATCACATGAAATGAAAAACATTTTTTTGACGATTTTAACTTTATTACAATTCAATTATTTCAATAATATCTTACTTTTCGTTTTTCAATATATAATAAATACTACAAAATTCTTATCATGTATAAATTTCGAATTATTAATTCTCTTAATTAATATTCACGCTAATATAGACTCGATGAACATTAACTTGATGAATCTTGATCTAGATAAATCTAAAGTTATTATAGATGAATTTATTTCTATTCATATATCTAAAACTTTTAATGAGCGTTTAAAGTTATGTATTAGCAATTAATTCTTATATACCAAATGTAGTATAAAAAGTTTGCTCATTTGTAGTATTTCATCATCATAAAAAATTGGAATAATAGAAGTTGAATTTTGAGAGTACAATTTTCTTTCTTTTAAATTTTTATTCTAAATTTTATTTTTTTAGTTCATTTGAGACTCATCAAATCCTCCCAAGAAACTTAAATCAAATATTACTTTTACGGCACTAATAAAATATTTCAAAATAACGTGGAATGCACGTTTAACTTTGTCTAGCAATTGTAAAAAGGAAAAATTACACAAATAGGCTACATTTGGGGCCAAGTTATAAAATCAGGTATATACATAAGATTTTCAAAATTGGGTGTAAATCTTACATTGTATATAATTTTTTAACGTGTAACTTTTCTACAGAAATCCTACATTTAGTAAGTTAAATGATTATATCTTAAATCTTCAATGCAATCGTGCGAGAAAATTAAGCAAAATCATGTTTTCAAGATTTAATTATCATTAATCAGATTATTATGATTTTTCTTTAAAAATCAGGTTTTGATTATATATAAAATATAATTTTTAATATTTTTAAAGCTATATTATCATAATTTTCAAAGAAGCAGATTTTAGGTCACATTTCAAAGAGATAGTCACAAAATTGTCAATATTTAATATTCATATGATTGTCATAAATTTTTTTTGATAACCGTGGATATCCGGGCCAGCTTGCGCGCATCTCGACTAATTCCACGGGGCCCTGAAGTTTACGGTCGGGTACTCACCTCAGTGGCCCTGAGAGGACTCGAACTGGTGACCATTGAGGAACCAACCCAAAGTTTGACCAATTGAGCAACCCCTTAGGACTCATATGACTGTCATAAATACACAACTTATAAGTCACAATCACATAACGTATTATAAATATTTTAAGTTACAACTACAGAACCTCATAAGTCACAATCATTCAACGTAATGATAATCTTTACACGAAATTATAATTTTTCAAAAACAAGTCAAAGATCACATTCTTAAATTTTACATGCATACTTGTAACAATAAATTGCCACAATTTTGTGATTAAAAGTCTAATCACACAATGTACTAGTCATAGTCATAATTTCCAAGCAAAATAGTCGAAAAATATTGTATTCAATGTCTACTATTGGAACAATTGTTCACAAACGATTGTTTAATTTATGTGCTATACCAATAGATGTAAAATCAACATAAAATTTAATGCATATTATTTGGAAAAAACTACGAACAAGAAAACAATAATTCCACAGAAATCACACAGTGAATTTGAGTTTTAGGATTTTTGAGAACATTGAACAGGAAGATCAATCATTCTACATTGTAAGAGAAATTTGTCAAAAAAGTGCACAAAATGGCACATGACATTCTATTGAACTGCTTAAAACACGGATAGTTTTTTCATCCAATCATCTTTTACCACCACTTCATTTGTCATTGCATCTGTCAATTCTTTCTAGCAAAGTGACATAATTCTTATAATTTTAGGAAAGTTGATATTAACTAATGACCTGACTTTTTGAAAGAATTCAATAAGTTTAATATTTTAGAAATTATATTCTTAAAGTATGATAATAGTTATGATATTTTCCCATCTCAGAAAAATCAAATTATACACTTTTATCAAACGAAGTGCATATTGCACGTAAAGAATATTCATATGCCAAACAGTATTATTTAACATAATAATAGCACTGAACGAAATTGTCCAGCAAACAGAAGTTTCAAAAAAGGTCCCTTACACCCAAATAAACTTCTTAAGTAGAGATTGACGTAATAACTTAAAATGATACAATGTCTAATCGGTTTCATCGAAAGAATATCAATGTCTTCAACTTCTGGAATGCCATGGCTTTTCTAGGGCTCATCGAGACTCAACTTTTATTATTAAAACCGGATAAAGAAAATACACAAACTAAGAAAATTAATGTCAAAGGACGGTTCGGGCAGAGCATGCCAAGGTAATCACACAGAAATAGAGTAAAAAGATTGTCCCTTTCTCATCAATTAGATGCATCCCGGCTGTAGTATTGATCGAGTGTCTTTGCTGGAATACGGTGAAGGAGCTCCCGTGGAAAGATCCGGAGAAGTGTCCATGCCAGATCAAGTGACTGGAAGATGTTGCGGGTGTCATAGGCCCCTTGGGCGACAAATTTCCTCTCGAACTTGTCAAGGAACTCGAGATATAGCTGTTAATTCAAGTGGAGATGTATTAGTGATTGTAATTATTACTTTAAATAAAATTGAATCCACAAACTTATTCTACAACAGACCAGATCCTCAGAGGAAAGTGCTTCTTCTCCGACCACGGCTTTCATTGCCTGCACATCTTTTCCAATGGCATAATTTGCATATAGCTGGAAAATCAGGAAGATTATAAGTAAATATGCAATGGTAAAATGCAATTTTTGAATCAAATACATTAAAACTAAACGGCAAAAACTGCTGCGTGGGTGGGCGGTGGTTCTTCAATTGATCTGTACCAACACGAATGTGAGACAATCTTACCTGGTTAGACACATCAGAATGATCCCTACGTGTCATGCCCTCACCAATGGCACTCTGCAATTAAAATTGAACTGATTATTCTATTTGCTTTCCAGGTAAGAAGTCAAACCATTCAAATCAAGCAAAGCCATGTAATTACCTTCATCAATCGAGACAAGGATGGCAGCACATTGATTGGAGGGTATATCTGTGCATTCAGACAGACAACTTGTTGTTCAGGCAAATTTCTACTTAATACACAACATGCCGATAAGAAAATTTTGTAACTATCAAGAAAAAGAACATCAGACAAAAATCATATATTTAACAATAAATCCATCATTGTAGTTTAAAATTCTTATGAGCTATCTTTCTGAATGTTGTGGACGTTCATTGGACATAATTTGCCTTCAAGTCATGTACCTCTTGAACCCTATACTTAGAAAACCACTCGAGAAAAATAATAGTGAAAGAAGAGATATGGTTCTTCTAATTGAATTACGGCTCTAATAGAACTTCCTGGCAAATCATTCACAATTTATTTGCATGACCTGCTACCACAAAGTTCTGCAACATATATCACAAGGATCATCAGTTGTGTTAATGACACTAGGCAGGTCCCAAAATTTTCAAACAAGACATTTGACCTACTAATGGCTCAAGGAGATACTTTGGATTATGTCAAACAACACAAACTAATTTATGTTCCATCTAAACATCTTTACCTGACGATTGTGAAGCTGTCTGTCAATATATATCTGTCCTTCAGTGATGTAACCCGTGAGATCTGGAGTTGGATGTGTAATATCTGAAAATTGCAAAGAAACACAGAATCAGACTGATTCACGTTTGACCAAGGACAAAAGATGCTGAATAGTTAATGTGTCCAAGTAATACCATCATTGGGCATGGTCAAGATAGGAATTTGTGTTATAGATCCCTTTCGCCCTTCAATACGACCAGCTCGCTCATAGATCGTTGCCAAGTCAGTGTACATATAACCAGGATACCCACGCCTTCCAGGCACTTCCTCTCGAGCAGCAGACACCTATAGTGAAAACCATATTTTGCATGATACCAATAATTTCGAGAAAGTACTTGAAGAGAGATTCACCAAAAACTCAATAGACATAATGAATCATAGCAAGAGATAGTTTCATTAAGCACCTGTAAAGGTATTTTGAAATCTATTTTTTTATTTTTTATTTTTTTGTTTAGAGATGAACCCTAAAATGGTATTCCATGGAAAGCAGAATATTTTAAGCAAGTGTTACCTCACGAAGAGCATCAGCATAAGAACTCATATCTGTCAATATGACAAGAACATGCTTCCCACATTCATATGCCAAATATTCTGCAGTTGTCAGAGCAATACGAGGAGTAATGATACGTTCTATTGTTGGGTCATTGGCCTGTATAAAAATTGTTCAGAACAAAATGAAAATTTTAGCCCCTTCTCCCAGGATTCATGTTTAAAGAAATAAGTCACTTTGCAGAGACAAATAACATCAGCACATAAAGTTACCAGGTTTAGGAAAAGGGTCACTCTCTCCATAGAACCGTTTTCCTCAAAATCACGTTTGAAGAACTGAGCTGTCTCCATGTTGACTCCCATAGCCGCAAAAACAATTGCAAAATTGTCATCTTCCTCCGCCTGTGGCATTAAGCAGGCAACATGAGAATCATTTTGAGATGGATTCAATCGCCTGAATTTATCAAATGTAATAAAATCTGCTTTAGAAAATCATGTAGTCGCATATTAAAGGAGGTAAGAGAACTGTTTGGTTGCTGTGAGCATAAATGTCGCACTACAACTGATATAATCTGCCACACCAGAAAACTGCATATATGGAGAAGATGCAGGTTTATAGGAAACTCCTGAAATTTTCAGGTAAAAAGATAAAGTTGATACGGCCAAATTAATGCTTAACAACTATGATAAGATGCTATAGTTTATTTTACAATATTAGGCCCAAAAATATGTTCTTCGAGCAAGAAAGAGAAACACTTCAAACAATTTTAAATTAATTCCTCAGCATGATATGATAATATCATACATAGGCTTGAAGAAGTGATTAGACTAACCCGGAGTAGTACCATTCATGGTCCCACAGTGTTACTAAACATCAAAATTAAAACATATATTTGGGTTTGCAAGGACAGGAAAGTGGAAGCAAAGAACCTGTGCGATGGAAACAATTTCCACCCCCTTTTCCAGAAGCTAATCTTCCTCCTTTTTTTATGTTTTAAGGGAAATAACATTCTTAGGCATTTCAAATTTGTTATATATTTAGGACTTTGCGCTACATTTCAATTAGAAAAAATATTAGAAATTCACTTTTCACCTAATGCTCATACCATAAAATCTTCTGTCCTACCCAACAAGCTCATATAAAGTGAAAGGCAACAGCTATGATGATTGATGGGGATTGCTGAAGTATGCATACAATCCAATACTCCAGAGCTTAGCCATATAGCAGATATAGAATGTAAATTTGTTTGTGTTTTAGACGAAAACATTTATCATGACAGTCAGTATACCCCAAGAAGATCATCAGATTTCTCCAAACGCTTCACCAAACCAGCCTGACGACAGATCTGAGCAGCTATTTCATTATGAGGAAGACCAGCAGCAGAAAAAAGCGGAATTTTCTGTCCTCGAGCAATTGAATTCATGACATCAATAGTTGAAATTCCTGTCTGGATCATTTCTTCAGGATAGGTTCTCTCACTAGGGTTAATAGAACTACCTGAAGTAAACAAAATACAATCAACATCACATGTGGACAAGCAAACCATATAAATGAAGACAGAAATTTGATTCTAGCAATACATGCCAGAAATATCCAAGTAAGCCTCTGGCAAAATTGGAGGACCATTGTCAATGGGTTTTCCAGAACCATTAAATATGCGACCAAGCATATCCAATGAGACCGGTGTCTTGAGAACCTGTAATAAAGTAGAATAAAAGCTTTATCAAAAGGATTTCAACAAAGGAAGATAACTCTAAATTGGCAGAAGTCATCTGATTATAGCATAGAACCAAATATAAATAGATCCTCCCCCCAACATATTTTATAATTCAGTAAAAGCATAAACAAAAAAATCCGTTTGCTAGAAAATGTCTACGAAAATTTATAGACCACATACCCCAATACTGTGCTTCAAGCCAGACCTAGCTTGTTCAAACTAATTTCAAAGGATTAATAATCAGACATCCTGAACTGGCTGCTTTATAGTGTATAAATGTCGTGATTCATCCAATGCATTTGATTCTTTCAAAGAGGCAGAGCCCAAC